TTTTTTGTTAGAGATAAGAGCTAAAACTCGGTAAACAACTTCTTTATGTCTAGAAAATTCTATCTTGCCTTTTATTTTTTTCTCGCTGTGAAACGTATTCGGTCATTTTTTTAAAAATTAATTTTTTGTTAGAGATAAGAGCTAAAACTCGGTAAACAACTTCTTTATGTCTAGAAAATTCTATCTTGCCTTTTATTTTTTCTCGCTGTGAAACGTATTCGGTCATTTTTTTAAAAATTAATTTTTTTAGAGATAAGAGCTAAAACTCGGTAAACAACTTCTTTATGTCTAGAAAATTCTATCTTGCCTTTTATTTTTTTCGCTGTGAAACGTATTCGGTCATTTTTTTAAAAAATTAATTTTTTGTTAGAGATAAGAGCTAAAACTTTGCAGACAACTCCCCCATGTCTAGCAAATTTAACATTCGTCTCCCATTTTTATATATTTGGTTTAGAATGTTCGAAAATGCGTAATATGGTCATTAATATTAATTAAAAAGAACCTTGAATTAATTCAATCTGATCTCACAAAATATTTTAAATTACAAACTTTGTAGTTTGAATAGATAATTAGTATTAAACTCAAATAACTAGTTTATTTTTGAATAAAAATTATTTGAATTCATTCAATTTTGTGAATTTCCCTTCAAAAATCAAGTTTAAATATCTTATTTGCCATATAATTATAAATACAATGAAACATATTCGAAATTGAAAAGAATGACTTTTTCTGTTCTTTCAATCATTCAATTTGAATTTTGCAATATTGGATTTCTCATTAAATAGCTATTAAAAACAACAAGCAATTTAACTTACATTCAAATTTATTTGTGTTATATTCAATCTTCTCAAAACTTATAATTTTCGGCTATAGCATGAGTATATGCTATATAATATAATAAACCTATAATAGTATCATTCTTTCAATTATTTGAAGAGAAAACCGAAAAAATCTATTTTCGGTCTATAACAGCGAAGGATAAGCCTCAAAATTTACGAATATAATGAGTGGGAATATAATGCTTATCTATCATAAAACCATATGAAATATCAATTTTTGCTTTACGCCTAATTTTTGACGACAATTAGCAAAAAATGTTAAATGTTAACACTCAGTCCATTTGAATATGAAAAATAAAATTGACTTTGATTAAATGTTTTTATTTATCATGCAATTCTTCTTGCGACCAAAGATTTGAATAAAAGTTCAAAAAATAAGATAGCTTAAAAAATAATATACGGTAGTGTTTCTAATAGATGAATAGTATATAAATTCTATTAAAATGGATTTGATCCAAAAAAATATAAAACCAAAAATAATTGTTATAATTTAAATGAAGAAGTAATTTAAAACGATTTATTTATGATCAAATTTTATATATTTTTTTGGATCAAATCCATTTTAATAGAATTTATATACTATTCATCTATTAGTAAACACTACCGTGTATTATTTTTTAAGCTATCTTTTTTTTTGAAATTTTATTCAAATCTTTGGTCGCAAGAAGAATTGCATGATAAATAAAAACATTTAATCAAAGTCAATTTTATTTTTCATATTCAAATGGACTGAGTGTTAACATTTAACATTTTTTGCTAATTGTCGTCAAAAATTAGGCGTAAAGCAAAAATTGATATTTCATATGGTTTTATGATAGATAAGCATTATATTCCCACTCATTATATTCGTAAATTTTGAGGTTTATCATTCGCTTTTAAGATCATTGAATTTGATTTTTATATAAAATAGTTATATATTAGAAAATAATATGAGTTTATGTGATATTATTTTTCAGAAGATTTCATTCTATATGCCTATGAAAAGTACTCTCAAAACTAACTTTTCCCTAATTATAATTAAATCTAGAATATTGTATTATGCTTAGTATTATTTCATTTTTCTCATTCAATTTAGAATTTACAAATGTCAAAAAATTGAGAGCTGTCACTTTTGATGAATTTCTGTTTATTACAGAACCAAGTCTAACATGATGACCAGTAATCAATATCTGATGTAAATGTTACATAATTTCAAATTTATTAAAAATAGAAAGGAGAAATATTATCAATGTCTTATAGTGATATGTTTTATAAGGAATTTATTAAAACGAGCACGTGACATAATTGCCCACGTCACTTTTTTAAAGTAAAAAATGGCTACTATATAAAGAACTTTCCATAAGTTTCATTAGGCCAAACTCCATATTTATCCAGGTGTATTGCAATTTTGAAAGCTGAAAGAGCTCTTGAAATGTTCAATATATTGTATGAATAAATATGTTTGATACTTGGCTCTTGATAAAGAATAACTTTATGAAAGTTTGCTGCAACCACTGCTAGGGCTGAATTATCAAATAGCTCATCAAACACAATGATGCATATAGTAGTTGGATGGAAAAAAATGCAATTGAAACAATTAGAACCACAAACTGTATATAAAATCTTTGTTGTTGACCAGACCTTTATTGTTTCGTTTAATGGCTTATTATCAAGGAGAAATATTTCAAAATTAATATCTGGATAAACGCGTTTAACACTATTAAATATATCATTCAAATTGTGAATGTATCGAGCTGTTCTATTTCCGTTATGATTTCTTTGGGATAAAACATACCTATAAGGCTTTGCATTCGTTAAGTTAAACTTTTTCCTTATTAGAAGGGTAAGTTTATGCCAGCAAGGACCGAGATGAGCAACATGACACCTTGGATTTAAATTGATATATAATTCTTTTGCATATAACCACTCATTTCCCGTCATTGTAATTGCTTCTTTAAATTCAAAAAGGGGAAGATACGTATCCATTAGATATTTATGTGAGTTGCAAGTGAAAACGGTTGCTTGCTTCAAAATTTCTTTTGGAAATTGTATCAAAGGTGATATTGTATCTTGTAGAAAATGACCGAAATTCATTGAAGCATAATGTCCAGTGTTTATAGCAAGATTACGATGCGCTATAACTTTTCCAGAGAGAGGTTTGTAAATGGCCCTTAATGATTCATATGGAAGTGTGGAATTAATAAATTTATCTTCAAAAAATACGGCACCATAACCAGATACATAGCAATTCCGTAGATGGTATATTCTGTTGTTATTCAAGTTAATGTTATTGTTAATTTTTGTTGTTCCATCCCAAAATTGGAATTGATCATATAATACGAACACGCTTGAAGACTCGGGAATGTTTTTCCATATAATCCGCATAGTATCTATTATTGCATTTTCTGGAACTCCTTGATGAAATCCGCAAGAATCCGTAATTTCTGTGAATAAAGATGTTATACTACAATTAGTATTTATTATGTTATCATTATATGGCCATAAACAAATCGAAAAGCTTGGTAGACATGATATAACTAAGAGAAACATATTTTCAACATGAAAATTCTTGTTGAACTTGTGTGTCATTTTTGCAAAATGTTATTCACTTTTGGGGTAGGGATTTTTTTGGGGGCTCCTTTCGGTCGCTCCCCCACAAATCCCTACCCCAAAAATTGCTGAATATCCTTTTGGCATAGTATTGACTGAGAAATAAAATTTAAATGTTTATAATCTCTCATATTTTTGAGAATGAATAAAAGTTTCAACTCAAGGTAAAACACGTCATCAAATCTTGAACGCAGAAGGAGAAATGTACCATCAATCCCTAGTTAGTATCCATAATTTTGGTACCAAGGGTCTACACCCCTCGGAACCAAAATTATAGTTTTGACAAAATAATCGTTATCGTCAATTTTACAAAATAAATTTTTGACGTTTACACAAAATAAAAAATAATTTTTTAAAAATAAACTTAAAAATTAACGTTAAAATTTTTGACACTTTACAAAATAAAAAAAATAATTAAAAAAACAACTTTAAGGGTGCACTACGAGGATTAAAAAGTCTTCAATTTTTTCTGAGAGTTCTATCAATTTGCTAATCCTCCAAATTAATAAAAACTCATTTTTTTCTTTACAGGAATATATTTTTTTCGATTAATATAGATCATTTAGAATCACATATGGTATCTTCATATCATATATAGCTTTGGTGGTCTAATATCAACTTTTTGATGGATTTAGAAAAACATTCGGAAAAACATGATTTTCGAAAAAATTTTAGCATGTTTATTTTTCTCATTATTTTGATCGAGCGCCATGATTTTTCTTTTTATCAAATCATTGGTACAATAAACATAGCCAGTTTTAAGGTTATTATTTAAATTATGCAAGTTTACAAAGTGTCACTTTTCTGGTATCACTTTTTCGTAAATTCTACCACACTCACTTTTTTTACTTTGTATTCAATTGGAGGTTGAAACACTTCTGGAGTACTTCTTTATAAGGATGTGATTTCTCTCTCTGAATTCCAAAAAGTGACATTGATCGAAAAGTGAAAAAACGTAAAAATTTTAGTTGAATGACGAAAAAAATGCCGTTTGCTAAGCGTCCTCCATCGCAACATCAAATGCCGATATTTTATTGGAGAGGTGGTAATGAATTAAAAGAAAAGGAATATCTTGAAGCAGAATATTCAAAGTTATTTCTTGATAGAGCAAAAGCTGAAGACGATTTGAAATCTGCCGAAGAAGAACTTGCACGCGCACGTAGTACACTTATGGAAAGAGAAGGTTATTCAAATGCGCTTGCTAGTTTCATGGATTCTGATACTCAAGGTGCAACAGAGGAAATACAACTGAAGAAAGAACTTGAAGAATTACAGAATAAGACAGAGGAAGCAGATCTAGAGTTACAAAAATATACATCTCAGGCGCAACCAGCCGTTACTGCTTCATTACAAAAAGAAAAGGCATATTACTTGCTCGAGAAGCAAAGGTACCAAAAGGGTTACTTAAACGCACTTAGTACTGGTGACCAATGCAGAAATCAAGCTGCTTTAATTGTAACTTCAAACCGTTACCGTCGAGCAGTTGATTTAGAGTTCCAGTACGATAAAGCTCTCAAGAAGAGAAACTATTTACGCCAAAGAGTTATTCAAGCTAAGAATGAAATTGACTCAATGACTCCATCGCGAAACCCTCTTAACACAAAGGAGGCAAAAGATCAACGTAAAACACTTACAAATGGTATCGAAACAAAGTTGGCCATACAAATCTCAGAAGAGAAACTTCAAAGACATCCAATCAAATACAAAGCTCATCTTGACTTCCTTTTGCATAGAATTGAAGAACTCAATTACAGAATGAAAGACATTGGATACACAGATGGAATTGTTGATGTTGATCAACTTCGTGAAGAAATATTTAGTCCAGATTCGCAAAAAAAGAACGAAGAGGAAGATGAGGAAGAACAAAATAGAGAAATAAATGAAGAACATACAGAAGAAAATATTGATCAATCTAATGAAGATTCTCAAGAAGAGAATGAAAATAAACAAGAAGATTTATCGCCGAAAGAAAAAGAAGAAGGAGGAGATGAGCACAATGACAAAGAGTCAGTAGAAGAATCTACAAATCCACTGCAAAGTCACAATCCAGATTCAAAACCAGAGAAATAATTAACAATTTTTTAATATTTTTAATAAAATGTTTTTTAGCTTTGTGATTATCATTATAATTTTTCCTGTTAAAACATTGCTAAAAAGTGGAGGAATATAAAATATAGAGAATTTAATTATTGTTTTTCAGGCTCTGTTATTATAACCAGCTATTAATAGCGTGTTGTAATTCATATTAAAAAAGTTAAAACTGATTTATTTATTGTTGAGTTTTGAGGATATGAAGTGCAGCCGCGAATTTCGTGAGAACAACATCTTCTGGTTTAGACATAATCTTAGTAACACCTGCTTCACATAATAGAGGAGCGACATCACTTGATAAGCTATCGCCATAGATGTAAAACTCCAAATCATTCTTTGTTTGAGTTGCTTCGTTGATTGCTTTCTTAATCAAATCATAAGCAGCTTCTTTATCAAAGTTCTTTGATGGATCCTTGAATATATTAAGCTTCTCATACTGAGGAATGAATGATTCCAAGTCTGCGGTGCACATACCATACAAAATCATTCCTAATTTGTTGTAATCGATCGTCAAGAAATCGCAAACTTCGGCCAATTCCTTTGTGACTAAACATCCTCGAGGAGTTCCCAATTCAGCACCAATTTTTGCATGTAAGTTCTTTCCTTCAAGGGCTTTCTGAACCAATTCTGTTGCTTTTAACACTTCTTGTTTTAATGTGACATTTGGCAACAAAATTGAAATGTTTTCAATTGATGAATTAGTGCAAGCAGAAACAATAGCATTCATTGATGTTTCCAACAAATGTGGTGTTACTAAGTTCATTCTTATGCCGCACACGCCCATCAATGGATTGGATTCTTTATGCTTCTTTGTAATATCGACAATTTCAGTCAACCTTTGGAGTTCTTGTTCGTTTTCTTCTGAAAATTCGATCTTTGTATTTTCTTTTGGAGCCTCTTCGCCTTCTTTGGGTTGTTCTGTTGTTTCTTTTGGTGGTTCTGGCGCCTCGCTTTCCTGCGTCTTTTCTGATTCTGTTTCTGTCTCAGATTTCTCTGTTTCTGTTTGAGACTGAGAAACTTCTGTCGATGTGTTTGGATTTTCGTTTCCAGAGTTTTCTTTGATGACTTTGAGTCTGGACAATTCCTGGACTGATTTGTGAGATCAGGAAGCCAAACGGATAATGGTTTATCGAGTAATTTGACTGTAATATCCAATCCTTTTGCAGCAGCCAAAATTTGTGTCAAATTTTCAGAAATAGAAGTCTCCAATTTTTGAAGAATTTCTTGGTTCTCGTGGTCTTTTAGCAATCCCAATGCGATTTCAGGTAATACATCATGCAATAAGTCATCCAGGGCAATTGGAGCGAATCCTTCTGCACCATTTTCAACTGATTTAGTGACTTCTTCAGCTGATTTCGCTTGAGAAATGATTTTAAGATTTCCACGAACTGAATCTGCCCATTCACAGACTTGTTGTGCATCGCCTGTAATTCCTGGATTACCAAGAGCTTGCTCTCCAATGTATACCTTACCATTACTGTCAATAGAAACAATATCATCTTTGTTGACGGTTTTGTCATCAACTGTCACTTTTTGTTCTTTTTCATCTATATTTATTTGGCAACCAATTGCTGTTGTCTTTCTCCACATCCTGCAGATCAATGTTGATGCTGTGTATAGATTGCCTGACGCTGTAACAATTGCTGAAGCAGCAGAGATTGCAGCGAAATCAGATGGTTGCAATGATTTTCTGAATAAAACGATTTTTTCGCCGTTTTTAGCTCTTTTTACGCATTCTTCTGTGCAAAAGACAGCTTTGCCAACAACAGCACCGTGTCCTGAAGCGATACCTGAAGCAAATGGCTGCTCAGATACATCCTGGAGGTCAGGAAGATTTGCAGAAGTAATGTCTTCGATTTGGACAAAAGAAAGTCCTTCTTTCGGTGTTTTTCCTTTGTTTTTCGAGAGAACAACGGATCTCATAAGCCCATTGTAGCTGAAAACTAAAGGAGAAACCTGCAAAATGTAAACTTGTTGGCCATCATAAATAAATTCGAGTGTAACTGGCGATCCGAACTTTTCTGCAATAGATGTGAAGATTGGGAACAATTTGTTCTTGACATCTGGTATCTGACGTGACAAATTCTGGATTGGATGCATATGACCGCGATGTTTGATGATATCTAAGAGAGTTCCATCGACAATATAGTCTCCTGAGTTGGTAAGTTCGCCTGTAATTGGATCATGAGTGGATATAATACCTGCACACGACTGTGGAGTGATATTTCCGGGAATCATTTGTGAAATGATTAAAGAAAAGTTGACGTTTTTGTATTTGTGATAGTCAATGTAGTTTTGAACCTTCTTACTATTCATTTTCTGATATACAGCCTTAAGAGAGTGCTTTAATTGTTCGAATGGATCTTGTGGAATTGTTTTTCCTGTGTGGCGGACGACTATTGACTTGTAAAGTCTAGTTAAATCAATCCAATCGATAGAATTGAATTCATTGGTATTCGATAAGTTTCTTGATTCTGAGAATTTTTGGAACATTTCGTCAAACTCGTGAGGATCAATGTTAAGAGCAACTGTTGAGAAGGATTGGATAAAATCGCAATATGAGCTGTAAACGTATGATTTGTTACCAGACAAACGTTCTAGAGCAATTGCGGTGACATCATTCAGGCCAATGTTGACGATTGAATCAAGCATGAGAGGTAATGATGGATTGCTATCAGAGCGAATTGAAAGAAGAATCGGTGAAATATTTAAGCCAAATCTTTTGCTTGTCTTCTGTTCAATCAATTTAATGTAGGAAAGAACTTCATCCCAGACATTTTCTGGTAATTCCTTTGCTCCACTTTGCATGAACTGTTGATAGGCAGTATTTGTTACAATAAATCCGTTTGGAATCAGTGCACCACGTCTTTGAGCTTGAATAAGCTTGAGAGCTTTGTCGCCAACGACTTTGTATGCCTCTTCTGGCTTATCAGCTATTTTCCCGAATTCTTCAAGTGATAAAACGGATTTCTCCATCCAAAATAACGAACTTAAAGTGTGCGCTGTAGTCCGTAAGTAAACTTCAGAATTTTTTGACGGTCTCAATTTGTAATGTACTTTTTCTCGATATCTGCTGAACATTTTTTGGAGTTGATGAAAGATAATAAACCATTATATTATGAGGAGTATTTATTATTTCATTTTTCGCGAAAATCATCTAAAACCATGGTATTTTGAAATTTTAAGGCTTCTCTCCGACCAAAGAGTGATACTGTGTTATATTCAAAAATTCATCAAAAGTGACACTATTCAATTTTTTGACATTTGTAAATCTACTTTTGAGTTAAGGCTCTCCTGCTATTTTATTTTTCTATTTAAATAATAGAAATAATATCTTCATGTGAAATAAATATATTTCCCAAAATTATAGGCTTGGATATTGACTTATAAATTGAAATTATTTCATATTAGTTGAGAATAATATGTGAGATCAGAAACATGGTATATACCTGTAATAGGCTTCGGAACGATATATTTTTTTGATTTTGCAACATAAGCAAAATTATCATTTTAAATTAGGTGCACCGCAATCAAGCATCTTACCGATAGGTCATTCATGAATTGTTACTATATTCTAAAATTAATGTGCTTATTGGAATATGTTTGAGAATTATTCAAACTTCAATGAATAGCTTATCCACAATTGAAAAATAAGAATATGCAACAGAGAAAATGATTTCTTATCGACATATTGATTGGGGTATCTAAAATTACCGTATAATTTTAGAATCAAAATCAATTTTTAATCTAAATTATTTGCCATCTAGAAGAAAAGGCAAACAAGTTAATAACTTTACTTGCCTTTGTGAATAGTGAGGAAATTATAAGAAAAATGTCATTTTGAATCTATTGAATCTTCATTTTTCAGATTTATGAATATTTTCTATATTAAAAAAATAATATACTAATTAATACACAATTTTGCCGCTCTAAAATCTTCCTAATGAGTTTGTATTATGAAATAATATAGATTCAACATCAAATGCAGGAAAAAAATTAAAAAAAATAAGTATAAAAAAATGTCACTAAAAATGATGAAGTTTAGGACAGATTTTGATTTTTAAGATTTTTTTGGAAACTTGAAAATCTCCCATTTGCCTGGAAATCAGCTGTACATTACACCACATGCTTGAATTCCTAGTTTTTGTCAATATTCTTATATTCATTCTCGAAATTTCAAAAAGATTCTTAAAATGTTTTAATCTACATCCTCAAATCATCAAAATAAACATCATCATAACAAGGAAAATACGAGAGTCTCTACAAAAGAGGATAATTTTTTCCAAATTTCATTATACAAAATATTAAATGCAAAATTTTACACAAGCCCAAATAATGTGTGAAATTTTAAATACATTCACGTTGATCTAAGATCGATATTACAACTTTACAAAATTCGATATATTCCAAAAAACAAAATCAAAAAAAAAGCTCTCTGTTACACTATTGCACACAATATGGTGTTGCTTATGGCGCTGCAAAACCATTGATATCTTAATTATTGAAAGAGTTATATCAACAATTTTAATAATTGCAATTATGCATAATATGCAATAATAAGCAATATTACGAAGTTTAATTCAAATTTTTTTTGAGAACAGTTTTCTCAAAAGTCATTTGAAGGAAGAATTCCAAATATACTCCTGTAATAAACAGAAATTCATCAAAAGTGACAGCTCTCAATTTTTTGACATTTGTAAATTCTAAATTGAATGAGAAAAATGAAATAATACTAAGCATAATACAATATTCTAGATTTAATTATAATTAGGAAAAAGTTAGTTTTGAGAGTACTTTTCATAGGCATATACCGTAGGTTGAATAGCCCGAGACCAATTTCAAAGGTCGTGTACCAATAAAAAATTTTGAATCAATTTACACAACGTGCCCATTTTACTCACTCAATATTTGAGAAAATAATTCAATTTTGAGAAGAATGGTCCTCTGCGTTTTGAGTGAGTGATGAAAAAAAATCTCAGAAAAATTGAATGAGTTTTTATGGCCATGAACCAAATTTGTGAAGTTCCCGTTTAAAAAAAATGCAACCAAGAACACGAATTCCCGAGTTTGCAGAATTAGAAAACTATAAAAATCTTGGGCTATTGACCCAGATGCAACTCGATTTACTCTATCGAAGAGTAAATGGCGAGTCTTATCAACAAATACGAAATGTTTACTCAATTTCAAAGACGACAGTAGCACGCGCAATCATGCGCACTGCTACTTGTCGTTCATGGCCAAAAGGTCAGTCAGGGGGTGGTATGACCCTTTTGTCACTACCAGATGAAATGCAGTTCAAAAAACTTGTTCAAGAGATGGCAGACGACTTGAACTGTATTACAACATCAATGGCCATTGCTGTCTGTACGGAATTACAAAATAGGAGATTAAAATTTGCGGCGCGGGTACTAATCGCTGCAAGATGCCCGCATCTTCTAGCGAAGCTCGATGATTACTGCCCATCACCATCCCGTGGCTGGCTTAATCATATCGCCACAAGATTGTCAATTCGGATTGTGAGCTCCCAAACTATTGATATGATCCGACGCTCTACCTGTGACGCAAACCATATTCGCCAATTTTTCCTCTCCAAGCATAGATACTTTGCCCGCAGGAAGAAGTTTATTGCGAATATGGACGAGACAATGCTCTATTCCAAACGTCGCTATAAAGTTCTTACTGCTGGCCGGAATCGCCCAGTTCGCGCTGAAAAGTCTCAGCTTCCACATCTTACAGGGGTCTGTACCATCTTTGCAGATGGTACAACTATGAAGCCAATGGTGATACTTCCACAAAAGAAGACCCTTGATGCGGAATTGGAAGATCTGGACGCCTTTTTTGTTCGCTCCGAGAGTGGATGGATGAACAAATACCTTTTTATGGTATACTGTATCATGTTCATCTGCAAAGTACAGGAGAAAAGGTCTCAAATGAATGTGTTTGATGCCCAGGTACCTTTTCTCCTAATTGTAGATGGTCATCCATCCAGGCTCTCTTTCTTGGCCGTTCGCCTCTTGAGCGCCTTCAATATCGAGCTTCTTGTTCTCCCAGGCCATACATCTCATATCTTACAACCTCTTGATGTTGGGATTTTTTCTCCCTTGAAGGCCCAATTCAAGAAGTTGTTTGATATGGCGACTATCCGGTACGATCAGCAAGGGCATATGGTGATCAATTATGTATGGAACGCCAGAGAACTGCGCTATATCATGGTTCGCAGCTTCCTTGATGCATGTAGTGTGTCTTGCACAGCTACAAACATCGAAAATGCTTTTAAAGCAACAGGAATCTATCCATTGGATATGAACAAACCTCTTGCTTCCAGATACATTGTAGCAAATGGAGTTCCTCCTGCAAGGCCCAATTTTGTCAACGACAAAGTCCTTACAGATCCAAATGTGATGATGCAAGTCTTCCAAATGGAATATGGACGCCCCATGCAGCAACAGGATTGGTATTTCAATCTGTTTGTGGCTATGCAATCTGTTTTGGCCTGGAATAGAGCATATGGCCAGGTTCTTAGTCGTGAGTTACATCTCCTTTATCCTACTGCAGGTGGATTTCAAAAAATCCAATTAAAATGATATAAAGCTGAGGAGCTCCAGGGTGAAGAGGAATTGATGAAGAAAAGAAGCAGCTGCATAATGGAGTGAGGAAGCATCTTGATGAAGAGAGGAAGTACTTTGAAGAAGAGAGGAAGCACTTTGAAGAAGAGAGGAATCTTGATGATGAAGAGAGGAAGCACTTGATAGAGAGAAGCACTTTGAAGAAGAGAGGAAGCACTTTGTGAAGAAGAGGAAGCTGCATGATGAGAGGAAGCTGCATGATGAAGAGAGGAAGCACTTGTTGAAGAGAGGAAGCACTTTGTTGAAGAGAGGAAGCTGCATGATGTAGTGAGGAAGCTGCATGATGAAGAGAGGAAGTACTTTGAAGAAGAGAGGAAGCATCTTGATGAAGAGAGGAAGCACTTTGTTGAAGAGAGGAAGCACTTTGAAGAAGAGAGGAAGCATCTTGAAGAAGAGAGGAAGCATCTTGATCCAGAGAGGAAGTATTTTGAAGAAGAGAGGAAGCATCTTGATGAAGAGAGGAAGCACTTTGAAGAAGAGAGGAAGCACTTTGTTGAAGAGAGGAAGCATCTTGAAGAGAGAGGAAGCTGCATGATGAAGAGAGGAAGCACCTTGATCAAGAGAGGAAGTACTTTGTTGAAGAGAGGAAGCTGCATCTTGCAGAAGAGAGGAAGCACTTTGTTGAAGAGAGGAAGTACTTTGTTGAAGAGAGGAAGCATCTTGAAGAAGAGAGGAAGCACCTTGATCAAGAGAGGAAGTACTTTGAAGAAGAGAGGAAGCACTTTGTTGAAGAGAGGAAGCATCTTGAAGACGAGAGGAAGCTGCATGATGAAGAGAGGAAGCACCTTGATCAAGAGAGGAAGTACTTTGTTGAAGAGAGGAAGCTGCATCTTGAGCAAGAGAGGAAGCATCTTGATCAAGAGAGGAAGTACTTTGAAGAAGAGAGGAAGCACTTTGTTGAAGAGAGGAAGCATCTTGAAGACGAGAGGAAGCTGCATGATGAAGAGAGGAAGCACCTTGATCAAGAGAGGAAGTACTTTGTTGAAGAGAGGAAGCTGCATCTTGAGCAAGAGAGGAAGCATCTTGATGAAGAGAGGAAGCATCTTGATGAAGAGAGGAAGCATCTTGAAGAAGAGCGGAAGCTGCATGATGAAGAGAGGAAGCACCTTGATCAAGAGAGGAAGTACTTTGAAGAAGAGAGGAAGCATCTTGAAGACGAGAGGAAGCTGCATGATGAAGAGAGGAAGCACCTTGATCAAGAGAGGAAGTACTTTGAAGAAGAGAGGAAGCATCTTGCAGAAGAGAGGAAGCACCTTGATCAAGAGAGGAAGCACTTTGAAGAAGAGAGGAAGCACTTTGTTGAAGAGAGGAAGCATCTTGAAGACGAGAGGAAGCTGCATGATGAAGAGAGGAAGCACTTTGAAGAAGAGAGGAAGTACTTTGAAGAAGAGAGGAAGCACTTTGTTGAAGAGAGGAAGCTGCATGATGTAGTGAGGAAGCTGCATGATGAAGAGAGGAAGCACTTTGTTGAAGAGAGGAAGCACTTTGTTGAAGAGAGGAAGCTGCATGATGTAGTGAGGAAGCTGCATGATGAAGAGAGGAAGCACTTTGAAGAAGAGAGGAAGCATCTTGCAGAAGAGAGGAAGCACTTTGTTGAAGAGAGGAAGCACTTTGAAGACGAGAGGAAGCTGCATGATGAAGAGAGGAAGCACCTTGATCAAGAGAGGAAGTACTTTGAAGAAGAGAGGAAGCATCTTGAAGACGAGAGGAAGCTGCATGATGAAGAGAGGAAGCACCTTGATCAAGAGAGGAAGCACTTTGAAGAAGAGAGGAAGCATCTTGAAGAAGAGAGGAAGCATCTTGATCAAGAGAGGAAGTACTTTGAAGAAGAGAGGAAGCACTTTGTTGAAGAGAGGAAGCATCTTGAAGACGAGAGGAAGCTGCATGATGAAGAGAGGAAGCACCTTGATCAAGAGAGGAAGCACTTTGAAGAAGAGAGGAAGCACTTTGTTGAAGAGAGGAAGCTGCATGATGTAGTGAGGAAGCACCTTGATCAAGAGAGGAAGCACTTTGTTGAAGAGAGGAAGCACTTTGTTGAAGAGAGGAAGCTGCATGATGTAGTGAGGAAGCTGCATGATGAAGAGAGGAAGCTGCATGATGAAGAGAGGAAGTACTTTGAAGAAGAGAGGAAGCATCTTGATGAAGAGAGGAAGCACTTTGTTGAAGAGAGGAAGCACTTTGAAGAAGAGAGGAAGCATCTTGAAGAAGAGAGGAAGCATCTTGATCCAGAGAGGAAGTATTTTGAAGAAGAGAGGAAGCATCTTGATGAAGAGAGGAAGCACTTTGAAGAAGAGAGGAAGCACTTTGTTGAAGAGAGGAAGCATCTTGAAGACGAGAGGAAGCTGCATGATGAAGAGAGGAAGCACCTTGATCAAGAGAGGAAGTACTTTGTTGAAGAGAGGAAGCTGCATCTTGCAGAAGAGAGGAAGCACTTTGTTGAAGAGAGGAAGTACTTTGTTGAAGAGAGGAAGCATCTTGAAGAAGAGAGGAAGCACCTTGATCAAGAGAGGAAGTACTTTGAAGAAGAGAGGAAGCACTTTGTTGAAGAGAGGAAGCATCTTGAAGACGAGAGGAAGCTGCATGATGAAGAGAGGAAGCACCTTGATCAAGAGAGGAAGTACTTTGAAGAAGAGAGGAAGCATCTTGAAGACGAGAGGAAGCTGCATGATGAAGAGAGGAAGCACCTTGATCAAGAGAGGAAGCACTTTGAAGAAGAGAGGAAGCATCTTGATGAAGAGAGGAAGCATCTTGATCAAGAGAGGAAGTACTTTGAAGAAGAGAGGAAGCACCTTGATCAAGAGAGGAAGTACTTTGAAGAAGAGAGGAAGCACCTTGATCAAGAGAGGAAGCACCTTGATCAAGAGAGGAAGTACTTTGAAGAAGAGAGGAAGCATCTTGAAGACGAGAGGAAGCTGCATGATGAAGAGAGGAAGCACCTTGATCAAGAGAGGAAGTACTTTGTTGAAGAGAGGAAGCTGCATCTTGAGCAAGAGAGGAAGCACTTTGAAGAAGAGAGGAAGCACTTTGAAGAAGAGAGGAAGCACTTTGTTGAAGAGAGGAAGCTGCATGATGAAGAGAGGAAGCACTTTGAAGAAGAGAGGAAGCACTTTGAAGAAGAGAGGAAGCTGCATGATGAAGAGAGGAAGCATCTTGAAGACGAGAGGAAGCTGCATGATGAAGAGAGGAAGCACCTTGATCAAGAGAGGAAGTACTTTGTTGAAGAGAGGAAGCTGCATCTTGAGCAAGAGAGGAAGCATCTTGATGAAGAGAGGAAGCATCTTGATGAAGAGAGGAAGCATCTTGATCAAGAGCGGAAGTACTTTGAAGAAGAGAGGAAGCACCTTGATCAAGAGAGGAAGTACTTTGAAGAAGAGAGGAAGCACTTTGTTGAAGAGAGGAAGCTGCATGATGTAGTGAGGAAGCTGCATGATGAAGAGAGGAAGCACTTTGAAGAAGAGAGGAAGCACTTTGAAGAAGAGAGGAAGCATCTTGATGAAGAGAGGAAGCTACATGATGTAGTGAGGAAGCTGCATGATGAAGAGAGGAAGTACTTTGAAGAAGAGAGGAAGCATCTTGATGAAGAGAGGAAGCACTTTGAAGAAGAGGAAGCACTTTGAAGAAGAGGAAGCAATTTGAAGAAGAGAGGAAGCACTTTGTTGAAGAGAGGAAGCTGCATGATGAAGAGAGGAAGCACTTTGAAGAAGAGAGGAAGCACTTTGTTGAAGAGAGGAAGCTGCATGATGAAGAGAGGAAGCACCTTGATCAAGAGAGGAAGTACTTTGTTGCAGAAGAGAGGAAGTACTTTGAAGAAGAGAGGAAGCATCTTGAAGAAGAGAGGAAGCATCTTGATCCAGAGAGGAAGTACTTTGAAGAAGAGAGGAAGTACTTTGTTGAAGAGAGGAAGCACTTTGTTGAAGAGAGGAAGCTGCATGATGAAGAGAGGAAGCACTTTGAAGAAGAGAGGAAGCACTTTGTTGAAGAGAGGAAGCTGCATGATGAAGAGAGGAAGCACTTTGAAGAAGAGAGAAGCACTTTGTTGAAGAGAGGAAGCTGCATGATGAAGAGAGGAAGCATCTTGAAGACGAGAGGAAGCTGCATGATGAAGAGAGGAAGTACTTTGTTGAAGAGAGGAAGCTGCATCTTGAGCAAGAGAGGAAGCATCTTGATGAAGAGAGGAAGCATCTTGATGAAGAGAGGAAGCATCTTGAAGAAGAGCGGAAGCTGCATGATGAAGAGAGGAAGCACCTTGATCAAGAGAGGAAGTACTTTGAAGAAGAGAGGAAGCACTTTGTTGAAGAGAGGAAGCTGCATGATGAAGAGAGGAAGCACTTTGAAGAAGAGAGGAAGCACTTTGAAGAAGAGAGGAAGTACTTTGTTGAAGAGAGGAAGCACTTTGTTGAAGAGAGGAAGCACTTTGTTGAAGAGAGGAAGCACTTTGAAGAAGAGAGGAAGCATCTTGAAGAAGAGAGGAAGCATCTTGAAGAAGAGAGGAAGTACTTTGAAGAAGAGAGGAAGCACTTTGTTGAAGAGAGGAAGCATCTGAAGAGAGAGGAAGCTGCATGATGAAGAGAGGAAGCACCTTGATCAAGAGAGGAAGTACTTTGTTGCAGAGAGGAAGCATCTTGATGAAGAGAGGAAGCACCTTGATCAAGAGAGGAAGCATCTTGCAGAAGAGAGGAAGTACTTGAAGAAGAGAGGAAGCATCTTGAAGAAGAGAGGAAGCATCTTGAAAGAAGAGAGGAAGTACTTTGAAGAAGAGAGGAAGCACTTTGTTGAAGAGAGGAAGCATCTGAAGACGAGAGGAAGCTGCATGATGAAGAGAGGAAGCACCTTGATCAAGAGAGGAAGTACTTTGTTGCAGAGAGGAAGCATCTTGATGAAGAGAGGAAGCACCTTGATCAAGAGAGGAAGCATCTTGCAGAAGAGAGGAAGTACTTTGAAGAAGAGAGGAAGCATCTTGAAGAAGAGAGGAAGCATCTTGATCCAGAGAGGAAGTACTTTGAAGAAGAGAGGAAGTACTTTGTTGAAGAGAGGAAGCATCTTGATGAAGAGAGGAAGCTGCATGATGAAGAGAGGAAGCACCTTGATCAAGAGAGGAAGTACTTTGTTGAAGAGAGGAAGCTGCATCTTGAGCAAGAGAGGAAGCATCTTGATGAAGAGAGGAAGCATCTTGAAGAAGAGCGGAAGCTGCATGATGAAGAGAGGAAGCACCTTGATCAAGAGAGGAAGTACTTTGAAGAAGAGAGGAAGCACTTGTTGAAGAGAGGAAGCTGATGATGTAGTGAGGAAGCACTTTGTTGAAGAGAGGAAGCACTTTGTTGAAGAGAGGAAGCACTTTGTTGAAGAGAGGAAGCACTTTGAAGAAGGAGAGGAAGCATCTTGAAGAAGAGAGGAAGCATCTTGATCCAGAGAGGAAGTACTTTGAAGAAGAGAGGAAGTACTTTGTTGAAGAGAGGAAGCATCTTGAAGACGAGAGGAAGCTGCATGATGAAGAGGAAGCACCTTGATCAAGAGAGGAAGACTTTGTTGAAGAGAGGAAGCTGCATCTGAGCAAGAGAGGAGCAGATCTTGATGAAGAGAGGAAGCATCTGATGAAGAGAGGAAGCATCTTGAAGAAGAGCGGAAGCTGCATGATGAAGAGAGGAAGCACCTTGATCAAGAGAGGAAGTACTTTGAAGAAGAGAGGAAGCATCTTGAAGACGAGAGGAGCTGCATGAAGAAGAGGAAGCTGCATGATGAAGAGAGGAAGACCTTGATCAAGAGAGGAAGTACTTTGAAGAAGAGAGGAAGCATCTGAAGACGAGAGGAAGCTGCATGATGAAGAGAGGAAGCACCTTGATCAAGAGAGGAAGTACTTTGAAGAAGAGAGGAGTACTTTGAAGAAGAGAGGAAGCACTTGAAGAAGAGAGGAAGCTGCCATCTTGAGCAAGAGAGGAAGCATCTTGATCAAGAGAGGAAGTACTTTGGAAGAAGAGAGGAAGTACGTGAAGGAGGAAGCATCTTGAAGACGAGAGGAAGCTGCATGATGAAGAGAGAAGCACCTTGCAAGAGAGGAAGTACTTTGTGAAGAGAGGAAGCTGCATCTTGAGCAAGAGAGGAAGCATCTGATGAAGAGAGAAGCATCTTGATGAAGAGAGGAAGCAATCTGATGAAAGAGAGGAAGCATCTTGAAGAAGGCGGAAGCTGCATGATGAAGAGAGGAAGCACCTTGATCAAGAGAGGAAGTACTTTGAAGAAGAGAGGAAGCATCTTGAAGACGAGAGGAAGCTGCATGATGAGAGAGAAGCACCTTGATCAAGAGAGGAAGTACTTTGAAGAAGAGAGGAAGCATCTTGAAGACGAGAGGAAGCTGCATGATGAAGAGAGGAAGCACCTTGATCAAGAGAGGAAGTACTTTGAAGAAGAGAGGAAGTACTTTGAAGAAGAGAGGAAGCACTTTGAAGAAGAGAGGAAGCTGCATCTTGAGCAAGAGAGGAAGCATCTTGATGAAGAGAGGAAGCATCTTGATGAAGAGAGGAAGCATCTTGAAGAAGAGCGGAAGCTGCATGATGAAGAGAGGAAGCACCTTGATCAAGAGAGGAAGTACTTTGAAGAAGAGAGGAAGCATCTTGAAGACGAGAGGAAGCTGCATGATGAGAGAGGAAGCACCTTGATCAAGAGAGGAAGTACTTTGAAGAAGAGAGGAAGCTGCATCTTGAGCAAGAGAGGAAGCACTTTGAAGAAGAGAGGAAGCACTTTGAAGAAGAGAGGAAGCACCTTGTTGAAGAGAGGAAGCTGCATGATGAAGAGAGGAAGTACTTTGAAGAAGAGAGGAAGCTACATGATGTAGTGACGAAGCTGCATGATGAAGAGAGGAAGCACCTTGATCAAGAGAGGAAGTACTTTGTTGCAGAGAGGAAGCATCTTGATGAAGAGAGGAAGCACCTTGATCAAGAGAGGAAGCATCTTGCAGAAAGAGAGGATACTTTGAAGAAGAGAGGAACATCTTGATGAAGAGAGGAAGCATCTTGATCAAGAGAGGAAGCATCTTGAAGAAGAGCGGAAGCTGCATGATGAAGAGAGGAAGCACCTTGATCAAGAGAGGAAGTACTTTGTTGCAGAGAGGAAGCATCTTGATGAAGAGAGGAAGCACCTTGATCAAGAGAGGAAGCATCTTGCAGAAGAGAGGAAGTACTTTGAAGAAGAGAGGAAGCATCTTGAAGAAGAGAGGAAGCATCTTGATCAGAGAGGAAGTACTTTGAAGAAGAGAGGAAGTACTTGTTGAAGAGAGGAAGCATCTTGGACGAGAGGAAGCTGCTGATGAAGAGAGGAAGCACTTGATCAAGAGAGGAAGTACTTTGTTGAAGAGAGGAAGCATCTTGAGAAGAGAGGAAGCACTTGATGAAGAGAGGAAGCATCTTGATCAAGAGAGGAAGCATCTTGAAGAAGAGGAAGCTGCATGATGAAGAGAGGAAGCACTTGATCAAGAGAGGAAGTACTTTGAAGAAGAGAGGAAGCACTTTGTGAAGAGAGGAAGCTGCATGATGTAGTGAGGAAGCATGATGAAGAGAGGAAGCACTTTGAAGAAGAGGAAGCACTTTGAAGAAGAGAGGAAGTACTTTGTTGAAGAGAGGAAGCACTTTGTGAAGAGAGGAAGCACTTTGTTGAAGAGAGGAAGCACTTGATCAAGAGAGGAAGTACTTTGTTGAAGAGAGGAAGCATCTTGAGAAGAGAGGAAGCACTTTGTTGAAGAGAGGAAGTACTTTGTTGAAGAGAGGAAGCATCTTGAAGAAGAGAGGAAGCACCTTGATCAAGAGAGGAAGTACTTTGAAGAAGAGAGGAAGCACTTGTTGAAGAGAGGAAGCATCTTGAAGAGAGAGGAAGCTCATGATGAAGAGAGGAAGCACCTTGATCAAGAGAGGAAGTACTTTGAAGAAGAGAGGAAGCATCTTGAAGAAGAGAGGAAGCTGCTGATGAAGAGAGGAAGCACTTGATAAGAGAGGAAGCACTTTGAAGAAGAGAGGAAGCATCTTGAAGAAGAGAGGAAGCATCTTGATCAAGAGAGGAAGTACTTTGAAGAAGAGAGGAAGCACTTTGTGAAGAGAGGAAGCATCTTGAAGAGAGAGGAAGCTCATTGATGAAGAGAGGAAGCACTTGATCAAGAGAGGAAGTACTTTGTGAAGAGAGGAAGCATCTTGAGAAGAGAGGAAGCACTTGATGAAGAGAGGAAGCATCTTGAAGAAGAGGAAGCTGCATGATGAAGAGAGGAAGCACCTTGATCAAGAGAGGAAGTACTTTGAAGAAGAGAGGAAGCATCTTGAAGAAGAGAGGAAGCTCATGATGAAGAGAGGAAGCACCTTGATCAAGAGAGGAAGCACTTTGAAGAAGAGAGGAAGCATCTTGAAGAAGAGAGGAAGCATCTTGATCAAGAGAGGAAGTACTTGAAGAAGAGAGGAAGCACTTTGTTGAAGAGAGGAAGCATCTTGAAGAAGAGAGGAAGCTCTGATGAAGAGAGGAAGCACTTGATGAAGAGAGGAAGTACTTTGTTGAAGAGAGGAAGCATCTTGAGAAGAGAGGAAGCATCTTGATGAAGAGAGGAAGCATCTTGATGAAGAGAGGAAGCATCTTGAAGAAGAGGGAAGCTGCATGATGAAGAGAGGAAGCACCTTGATCAAGAGAGGAAGTACTTTGAAGAAGAGAGGAAGCATCTTGAAGAGAGAGGAAGCTCATGATGAAGAGAGGAAGCACTTGATCAAGAGAGGAAGTACTTTGAAGAAGAGAGGAAGCATCTTGATGAAGAGAGGAAGCTACTGATGAGAGAGGAAGCACTTTGTGAAGAGAGGAAGCTGCATGATGAAGAGAGGAAGCACTTTGTTGAAGAGAGGAAGCATCTTGAGAAGAGAGGAAGTCTTTGATGAAGAGAGGAAGCATCTTGATGAAGAGAGGAAGCATCTTGAAGAAGAGAGGAAGCTGCATGATGAGAGAGGAAGCACTTGATCAAGAGAGGAAGTACTTTGAAGAAGAGAGGAAGCACTTTGTGAAGAGAGGAAGCTGCATGATGAGAGGAAGCTGCTGATGAAGAGAGGAAGCACTTTGAAGAAGAGAGGAAGCATCTTGATGAAGAGAGGAAGCTGCATGATGAAGAGAGAGAAGCTCTTGATGAAGAGAGGAAGCACTTTGTTGAAGAGAGGAAGCACTTTGAAGAAGAGAGGAAGCATCTTGAGAAGAGAGGAAGCACCTTGATCAAGAGAGGAAGCACTTTGAAGAAGAGAGGAAGCACTTGAAGAAGAGAGGAAGCATCTTGATCAAGAGAGGAAGTACTTTGAAGAAGAGAGGAAGCACTTGATCAAGAGAGGAAGCATCTTGATCAAGAGAGGAAGTACTTTGAAGAAGAGGAAGCATCTTGATGAAGAGAGGAAGCACTTTGAAGAAGAGAGGAAGCACTTTGAAGAAGAGAGGAAGCACTTTGTTGAAGAGAGGAAGCATCTTGAAGACGAGAGGAAGCTGCATGATGAAGAGAGGAAGCACCTTGATCAAGAGAGGAAGCATCTTGAGAAGAGAGGAAGCATCTTGATGAAGAGAGGAAGCATCTTGATGAAGAGAGGAAGCATCTTGAAGAAGAGGGAAGCTGCATGATGAAGAGAGGAAGCACTTGATCAAGAGAGGAAGTACTTTGAAGAAGAGAGGAAGCACTTTGTTGAAGAGAGGAAGCTCATGATGAGGAGGAAGCTGCATGATGAAGAGAGGAAGCACTTTGAAGAAGAGAGGAAGCACTTTGAAGAAGAGAGGAAGCATCTTGCAGAAGAGAGGAAGCACTTGATCAAGAGAGGAAGCACTTTGAAGAAGAGAGGAAGCATCTTGATGAAGAGAGGAAGCATCTTGATCAAGAGAGGAAGTACTTTGAAGAAGAGAGGAAGCACCTTGATCAAGAGAGGAAGTACTTTGAAGAAGAGAGGAAGCACTTGATCAAGAGAGGAAGCACTTGATCAAGAGAGGAAGTACTTTGAAGAAGAGAGGAAGCATCTTGAAGACGAGAGGAAGCTGCATGATGAAGAGAGGAAGCACCTTGATCAAGAGAGGAAGTACTTTGTTGAAGAGAGGAAGCTGCATCTTGAAAGAGAGGAAGCACTTTGAAGAAGAGAGGAAGCACTTTGATGAAGAGAGGAAGCACTTTGTTGAAGAGAGGAAGCTGCATGATGAAGAGAGGAAGCACTTTGAAGAAGAGAGGAAGCACTTTGAAGAAGAGAGGAAGCTGCATGATGAAGAGAGGAAGCATCTTGAAGAGAGAGGAAGCTGCATGATGAAGAGAGGAAGCACTTGATCAAGAGAGGAAGTACTTGTTGAAGAGAGGAAGCATCTTGAGCAAGAGAGGAAGCATCTTGATGAAGAGAGGAAGCATCTTGATGAAGAGAGGAAGCATCTTGATCAAGAGAGGAAGTACTTTGAAGAAGAGAGGAAGCACTTGATCAAGAGAGGAAGTACTTTGAAGAAGAGAGGAAGCACTTTGTTGAAGAGAGGAAGCTGCATGATGAGTGAGGAAGCTGCATGATGAAGAGAGGAAGCACTTTGAAGAAGAGAGGAAGCACTTTGAAGAAGAGAGGAAGCATCTTGATGAAGAGAGGAAGCTACATGATGTAGTGAGGAAGCTGCATGATGAAGAGAGGAAGTACTTTGAAGAAGAGAGGAAGCATCTTGATGAAGAGAGGAAGCACTTTGAAGAAGAGAGGAAGCACTTTGAAGAAGAGAGGAAGCACTTTGAAGAAGAGAGGAAGCACTTTGTTGAAGAGAGGAAGCTGCTGATGAAGAGAGGAAGCACTTTGAAGAAGAGAGGAAGCACTTTGTTGAAGAGAGGAAGCTGCATGATGAAGAGAGGAAGCACCTTGATCAAGAGAGGAAGTACTTTGTTGCAGAAGAGAGGAAGTACTTTGAAGAAGAGAGGAAGCATCTTGAAGAAGAGAGGAAGCATCTTGATCCAGAGAGGAAGTACTTTGAAGAAGAGAGGAAGTACTTGTTGAAGAGAGGAAGCACTTTGTTGAAGAGAGGAAGCTGCATGAAGAGAGGAAGCACCTTGATCAAGAGAGGAAGCACTTTGAAGAAGAGAGGAAGCATCTTTGATGAAGAGAGGAAGCATCTTGATCAAGAGAGGAAGTACTTTGAAGAAGAGAGGAAGCACCTTGATCAAGAGAGGAAGTACTTTGAAGAAGAGAGGAAGCTGCATGATGAAGAGAGGAAGCACCTTGATCAAGAGAGGAAGTACTTTGTTGAAGAGAGGAAGCTGCATCTTGAGCAAGAGAGGAAGCATCTTGATGAAGAGAGGAAGCATCTTGATGAAGAGAGGAAGCATCTTGAAGAAGAGCGGAAGCTGCATGATGAAGAGAGGAAGCACCTTGATCAAGAGAGGAAGTACTTTGAAGAAGAGAGGAAGCACTTTGTTGAAGAGAGGAAGCTGGATGAAGAGAGCACTTTGAAGAAGAGAGGAAGCACTTTGAAGAAGAGAGGAAGTACTTTGTTGAAGAGAGGAAGCACTTTGTTGAAGAGAGGAAGCACTTTGTTGAAGAGAGGAAGCACTTTGAAGAAGAGAGGAAGCATCTTGAAGAAGAGAGGAAGCATCTTGAAGAAGAGAGGAAGTACTTTGAAGAAGAGAGGAAGCACTTTGTTGAAGAGAGGAAGCATCTTGAAGACGAGAGGAAGCTGCATGATGAAGAGAGGAAGCACCTTGATCAAGAGAGGAAGTACTTTGTTGCAGAGAGGAAGCATCTTGATGAAGAGAGGAAGCACCTTGATCAAGAGAGGAAGCATCTTGCAGAAGAGAGGAAGTACTTTGAAGAAGAGGAAGCACTTGAAGAAGAGAGGAAGCATCTTGATCCAGAGAGGAAGTACTTTGAAGAAGAGAGGAAGTACTTTGTTGAAGAGAGGAAGCATCTTGAAGACGAGAGGAAGCTGCATGATGAAGAGAGGAAGCACCTTGATCAAGAGAGGAAGTACTTTGTTGAAGAGAGGAAGCTGCATCTTGAGCAAGAGAGGAAGCATCTTGATGAAGAGAGGAAGCATCTTGAAGAAGAGCGGAAGCTGCATGATGAAGAGAGGAAGCACCTTGATCAAGAGAGGAAGTACTTTGAAGAAGAGAGGAAGCACTTTGTTGAAGAGAGGAAGCTGCATGATGTAGTGAGGAAGCACTTTGTTGAAGAGAGGAAGCACTTTGTTGAAGAGAGGAAGCACTTTGTTGAAGAGAGGAAGCACTTTGAAGAAGAGAGGAAGCATCTTGAAGAAGAGAGGAAGCATCTTGATCCAGAGAGGAAGTACTTTGAAGAAGAGAGGAAGTACTTTGTTGAAGAGAGGAAGCATCTTGAAGACGAGAGGAAGCTGCATGATGAAGAGAGGAAGCACCTTGATCAAGAGAGGAAGTACTTTGTTGAAGAGAGGAAGCTGCATCTTGAGCAAGAGAGGAAGCATCTTGATGAAGAGAGGAAGCATCTTGATGAAGAGAGGAAGCATCTTGAAGAAGAGCGGAAGCTGCATGATGAAGAGAGGAAGCACTTGATCAAGAGAGGAAGTACTTTGAAGAAGAGAGGAAGCATCTTGAAGACGAGAGGAAGCTGCATGATGAAGAGAGGAAGCTGCATGATGAAGAGAGGAAGCACCTTGATCAAGAGAGGAAGTACTTTGAAGAAGAGAGGAAGCATCTTGAAGACGAGAGGAAGCTGCATGATGAAGAGAGGAAGCACCTTGATCAAGAGAGGAAGTACTTTGAAGAAGAGAGGAAGTACTTTGAAGAAGAGAGGAAGCACTTTGAAGAAGAGAGGAAGCTGCATCTTGAGCAAGAGAGGAAGCATCTTGATCAAGAGAGGAAGTACTTTGAAGAAGAGAGGAAGTACTTTGAAGAAGAGAGGAAGCATCTTGAAGACGAGAGGAAGCTGCATGATGAAGAGAGGAAGCACCTTGATCAAGAGAGGAAGTACTTTGTTGAAGAGAGGAAGCTGCATCTTGAGCAAGAGAGGAAGCATCTTGATGAAGAGAGGAAGCATCTTGATGAAGAGAGGAAGCATCTTGATGAAGAGAGGAAGCATCTTGAAGAAGAGCGGAAGCTGCATGATGAAGAGAGGAAGCACCTTGATCAAGAGAGGAAGTACTTTGAAGAAGAGAGGAAGCATCTTGAAGACGAGAGGAAGCTGCATGATGAAGAGAGGAAGCACCTTGATCAAGAGAGGAAGTACTTTGAAGAAGAGAGGAAGCATCTTGAAGACGAGAGGAAGCTGCATGATGAAGAGAGGAAGCACCTTGATCAAGAGAGGAAGTACTTTGAAGAAGAGAGGAAGTACTTTGAAGAAGAGAGGAAGCACTTTGAAGAAGAGAGGAAGCTGCATCTTGAGCAAGAGAGGAAGCATCTTGATGAAGAGAGGAAGCATCTTGATGAAGAGAGGAAGCATCTTGAAGAAGAGCGGAAGCTGCATGATGAAGAGAGGAAGCACCTTGATCAAGAGAGGAAGTACTTTGAAGAAGAGAGGAAGCATCTTGAAGACGAAGGAAGCTGCATGATGAAGAGAGGAAGCACCTTGATCAAGAGAGGAAGTACTTTGAAGAAGAGAGGAAGCTGCATCTTGAGCAAGAGAGGAAGCACTTTGAAGAAGAGAGGAAGCACTTTGAAGAAGAGAGGAAGCACTTTGTTGAAGAGAGGAAGCTGCATGATGAAGAGAGGAAGTACTTTGAAGAAGAGAGGAAGCTACATGATGTAGTGACGAAGCTGCATGATGAAGAGAGGAAGCACCTTGATCAAGAGAGGAAGTACTTTGTTGCAGAGAGGAAGCATCTTGATGAGAAGGAAGCACCTTGATCAAGAGAGGAAGCATCTTGCAGAAGAGAGGAAGTACTTTGAAGAAGAGAGGAAGCATCTTGATGAAGAGAGGAAGCATCTTGATCAAGAGAGGAAGCATCTTGAAGAAGAGCGGAAGCTGCATGATGAAGAGAGGAAGCACCTTGATCAAGAGAGGAAGTACTTTGTTGCAGAGAGGAAGCATCTTGATGAAGAGAGGAAGCACCTTGATCAAGAGAGGAAGCATCTTGCAGAAGAGAGGAAGTACTTTGAAGAGAGAGGAAGCATCTTGAAGAAGAGAGGAAGCATCTTGATCCAGAGAGGAAGTACTTTGAAGAAGAGAGGAAGTACTTTGTTGAAGAGAGGAAGCATCTTGAAGACGAGAGGAAGCTGCATGATGAAGAGAGGAAGCACCTTGATCAAGAGAGGAAGTACTTTGTTGAAGAGAGGAAGCTGCATCTTGAGCAAGAGAGGAAGCATCTTGATGAAGAGAGGAAGCATCTTGATCAAGAGAGGAAGCATCTTGATCAAGAGCGGAAGTACTTTGAAGAAGAGAGGAAGCACCTTGATCAAGAGAGGAAGTACTTTGAAGAAGAGAGGAAGCACTTTGTTGAAGAGAGGAAGCTGCATGATGTAGTGAGGAAGCTGCATGATGAAGAGAGGAAGCACTTTGAAGAAGAGAGGAAGCACTTTGAAGAAGAGAGGAAGTACTTTGTTGAAGAGAGGAAGCACTTTGTTGAAGAGAGGAAGCACTTTGTTGAAGAGAGGAAGCACTTTGAAGAAGAGAGGAAGCATCTTGAAGAAGAGAGGAAGCATCTTGAAAGAGAGGAAGTACTTTGAAGAAGAGAGGAAGCACTTTGTTGAAGAGAGGAAGCATCTTGAAGAAGAGAGGAAGCATCTTGCAGAAGAGAGGAAGCACCTTGATCAAGAGAGGAAGTACTTTGAAGAAGAGAGGAAGTACTTTGAAGAAGAGAGGAAGCATCTTGCAGAAGAGAGGAAGCACCTTGATCAAGAGAGGAAGTATTTGAAGAAGAGAGGAAGTACTTTGAAGAAGAGAGGAAGCTACATGATGTAGTGAGGAAGCTGCATGATGAAGAGAGGAAGCACTTTGAAGAAGAGAGGAAGCACTTTGTTGAAGAGAGGAAGCTGCATGATGTAGTGAGAAGCTGCATGATGAAGAGAGGAAGCACTTTGAAGAAGAGAGGAAGCACTTTGTTGAAGAGAGGAAGCTGCATGATGTAGTGAGGAAGCTGCATGATGAAGAGAGGAAGCACCTTGATCAAGAGAGGAAGTACTTTGAAGAAGAGAGGAAGCATCTTGCAGAAGAGAGGAAGCACCTTGATCAAGAGAGGAAGTACTTTGAAGAAGAGAGGAAGTACTTTGAAGAAGAGAGGAAGCTACATGATGTAGTGAGGAAGCTGCATGATGAAGAGAGGAAGCACTTTGAAGAAGAGAGGAAGCACTTTGTTGAAGAGAGGAAGCTGCATGATGTAGTGAGGAAGCTGCATGATGAAGAGAGGAAGCACTTTGTTGAAGAGAGGAAGCACTTTGAAGAAGAGAGGAAGCATCTTGCAGAAGAGAGGAAGCACCTTGATCAAGAGAGGAAGTACTTTGAAGAAGAGAGGAAGTACTTTGAAGAAGAGAGGAAGTACTTTGAAGAAGAGAGGAAGCATCTTGATCAAGAGAGGAAGCACCTTGATCAAGAGACGAAGTACTTTGAAGAAGAGAGGAAGCATCTTGATGAAGAGAGGAAGCATCTTGATCAAGAGAGGAAGCATCTTGAAGAAGCGAGGAAGCACTTTGTTGAAGAGAGGAAGCACTTTGTTGAAGAGAGGAAGTACTTTGAAGAAGAGAGGAAGTACTTTGAAGAAGAGAGGAAGCACTTTGAAGAAGAGAGGAAGCACTTTGTTGAAGAGAGGAAGCATCTTGATCAAGAGAGGAAGTACGTTGAAGAAGAGAGGAAGTACTTTGAAGAAGAGAGGAAGTACTTTGTTGAAGAGAGGAAGCACTTTGAAGAAGAGAGGAAGCATCTTGCAGAAGAGAGGAAGCACTTTGTTGAAGAGAGCAAGCATCTTGAAGAAGAGAGGAAGCATCTTGATCCAGAGAGGAAGTACTTTGAAGAAGAGAGGAAGTACTTTGTTGAAGAGAGGAAGCATCTTGAAGACGAGAGGAAGCTGCATGATGAAGAGAGGAAGCACCTTGATCAAGAGAGGAAGTACTTTGTTGAAGAGAGGAAGCTGCATCTTGAGCAAGAGAGGAAGCATCTTGATGAAGAGAGGAAGTACTTTGTTGAAGAGAGGAAGCTGCATCTTGAGCAAGAGAGGAAGCACTTTGATGAAGAGCGGAAGCTGCATGATGAAGAGAGGAAGCATCTTGATCAAGAGAGGAAGCATCTTGATCAAGAGAGGAAGTACTTTGTTGAAGAGAGGAAGCATCTTGATCAAGAGAGGAAGCATCTTGATCAAGAGAGGAAGCACTTTGTTGAAGAGAGGAAGCACTTTGAAGAAGAGAGGAAGCATCTTGAAGAAGAGAGGAAGCATCTTGAAGAAGAGAGGAAGTACTTTGAAGAAGAGAGGAAGCACTTTGTTGAAGAGAGGAAGCATCTTGAAGACGAGAGGAAGCTGCATGATGAAGAGAGGAAGCACCTTGATCAAGAGAGGAAGTACTTTGTTGCAGAGAGGAAGCATCTTGATGAAGAGAGGAAGCACCTTGATCAAGAGAGGAAGCATCTTGCAGAAGAGAGGAAGTACTTTGAAGAAGAGAGGAAGCATCTTGAAGAAGAGAGGAAGCATCTTGAAGAAGAGAGGAAGTACTTTGAAGAAGAGAGGAAGCACTTTGTTGAAGAGAGGAAGCATCTTGAAGACGAGAGGAAGCTGCATGATGAAGAGAGGAAGCACCTTGATCAAGAGAAAGTACTTTGTTGAAGAGAGGAAGCTGCATCTTGAGCAAGAGAGGAAGCATCTTGATGAAGAGAGGAAGCATCTTGATGAAGAGAGGAAGCATCTTGAAGAAGAGCGGAAGCTGCATGATGAAGAGAGGAAGCACCTTGATCAAGAGAGGAAGTACTTTGAAGAAGAGAGGAAGCATCTTGAAGACGAGAGGAAGCTGCATGATGAAGAGAGGAAGCACCTTGATCAAGAGAGGAAGTACTTTGAAGAAGAGAGGAAGCACTTTGTTGAAGAGAGGAAGCACTTTGAAGAAGAGAGGAAGCATCTTGCAGAAGAGAGGAAGCACCTTGATCAAGAGAGGAAGTACTTTGAAGAAGAGAGGAAGTACTTTGAAGAAGAGAGGAAGCTACATGATGTAGTGAGGAAGCTGCATGATGAAGAGAGGAAGCACTTTGAAGAAGAGAGGAAGCACTTTGTTGAAGAGAGGAAGCTGCATGATGTAGTGAGGAAGCTGCATGATGAAGAGAGGAAGCACCTTGATCAAGAGAGGGAAGTACTTTGAGAAGAGAGGAAGCATCTTGAAGACGAGAGGAAGCTGCATGATGAAGAGAGGAAGCACCTTGATCAAGAGAGGAAGTACTTTGAAGAAGAGAGGAAGCACTTTGTTGAAGAGAGGAAGCACTTTGAAGAAGAGAGGAAGCATCTTGCAGAAGAGAGGAAGCACCTTGATCAAGAGAGGAAGTACTTTGAAGAAGAGAGAAGTACTTTGAAGAAGAGAGGAAGCATCTTGCAGAAGAGAGGAAGCACCTTGATCAAGAGAGGAAGTACTTGAAGAAGAGAGGAAGTACTTTGAAGAAGAGAGGAAGCATCTTGATCAAGAGAGGAAGCACCTTGATCAAGAGACGAAGTACTTTGAAGAAGAGAGGAAGCATCTTGATGAAGAGAGGAAGCATCTTGATCAAGAGAGGAAGCATCTTGAAGAAGCGAGGAAGCACTTTGTTGAAGAGAGGAAGCACTTTGTTGAAGAGAGGAAGCACTTTGTTGAAGAGAGGAAGCATCTTGATCAAGAGAGGAAGTACTTTGAAGAAGAGAGGAAGCATCTTGATCCAGAGAGGAAGTACTTTGAAGAAGAGAGGAAGTACTTTGAAGAAGAGAGGAAGCACTTTGTTGAAGAGAGGAAGTACTTTGAAGAAGAGAGGAAGTACTTTGAAGAAGAGAGGAAGTACTTTGAAGAAGAGAGGAAGTACTTTGAAGAAGAGAGGAAGCACTTTGTTGAAGAGAGGAAGCATCTTGAAGAAGAGCTGAAGCTGCATGATGAAGAGAGGAAGCATCTTGATCAAGAGAGGAAGCATCTTGATCAAGAGAGGAAGTACTTTGTTGAAGAGAGGAAGCATCTTGATCAAGAGAGGAAGCATCTTGATCAAGAGAGGAAGCATCTTGATCAAGAGAGGAAGTACTTTGAAGAAGAGAGGAAGCATCTTGATCAAGAGAGGAAGCATCTTGATCAAGAGAGGAAGTACTTTGAAGAAGAGAGGAAGCACCTTGATCAAGAGAGGAAGCATCTTGAAGAAGAGCGGAAGCTGCATGATGAAGAGAGGAAGTACTTTGAAGAAGAGAGGAAGTACTTTGTTGAAGAGAGGAAGCACTTTGAAGAAGAGAGGAAGCATCTTGCAGAAGAGAGGAAGCACTTTGTTGAAGAGAGGAAGAACTTTGAAGAAGAGAGGAAGCACTTTGTTGAAGAGAGGAAGCATCTTGAAGACGAGAGGAAGCTGCATGATGAAGAGAGGAAGCACCTTGATCAAGAGAGGAAGCTACATGATGTAGTGAGGAAGCTGCATCTTGAGCAAGAGAGGAAGCATCTTGATGAAGAGAGGAAGCATCTTGATGAAGAGAGGAAGCATCTTGAAGAAGAGCGGAAGCTGCATGATGAAGAGAGGAAGCATCTTGATCAAGAGAGGAAGCATCTTGAAGAAGAGACGAAGCTGCATGATGAAGAGCGGAAGCACCTTGATCAAGAGACGAAGTACTTTGAAGAAGAGAGGAAGCATCTTGATGAAGAGAGGAAGCACCTTGATCAAGAGAGGAAGCATCTTGATCAAGAGAGGAAGTACTTTGAAGAAGAGAGGAAGCATCTTGATGAACAGAGGAAGCATCTTGATCAAGAGAGGAAGTACTTTGAAGAAGAGAGGAAGTACTTTGAAGAAGAGAGGAAGCACTTTGAAGAAGAGAGGAAGCACTTTGTTGAAGAGAGGAAGCATCTTGAAGAAGAGAGGAAGCTGCATGATGAAGAGAGGAAGCATCTTGATCAAGAGAGGAAGCACCTTGATCAAGAGAGGAAGTACTTTGTTGAAGAGAGGAAGCATCTTGATCCAGAGAGGAAGTACTTTGAAGAAGAAAGGAAGCATCTTGATCCAGAGAGGAAGTACTTTGAAGAAGAGAGGAAGCACTTTGTTGAAGAGAGGAAGCATCTTGAAGAAGAGCGGAAGCTGCATGATGAAGAGCGGAAGCTGCATGATGAAGAGAGGAAGCATCTTGATCAAGAGAGGAAGCATCTTGAAGAAGCGAGGAAGCACTTTGTTGAAGAGAGGAAGCACTTTGTTGAAGAGAGGAAGCACTTTGTTGAAGAGAGGAAGCATCTTGATCAAGAGAGGAAGTACTTTGAAGAAGAGAGGAAGCATCTTGATGAAGAGAGGAAGCACCTTGATCAAGAGAGGAAGCATCTTGATCAAGAGAGGAAGTACTTTGAAGAAGAGAGGAAGCATCTTGATGAACAGAGGAAGCATCTTGATCAAGAGACGAAGTACTTTGAAGAAGAGAGGAAGTACTTTGAAGAAGAGAGGAAGCACTTTGAAGAAGAGAGGAAGCACTTTGTTGAAGAGAGGAAGCATCTTGAAGAAGAGAGGAAGCTGCATGATGAAGAGAGGAAGCATCTTGATCAAGAGAGGAAGCACCTTGATCAAGAGAGGAAGTACTTTGTTGAAGAGAGGAAGCATCTTGATCAAGAGAGGAAGTACTTTGAAGAAGAGAGGAAGCATCTTGATCCAGAGAGGAAGTACTTTGAAGAAGAGAGGAAGCACTTTGTTGAAGAGAGGAAGCATCTTGAAGAAGAGCGGAAGCTGCATGATGAAGAGCGGAAGCTGCATGATGAAGAGAGGAAGCATCTTGATCAAGAGAGGAAGTACTTTGAAGAAGAAAGGAATCACTTTGTTGAAGAGAGGAAGCACCTTGATCAAGAGAGGAAGCATCTTGATCAAGAGAGGAAGCATCTTGATCAAGAGAGGAAGTACTTTGAAGAAGAGAGGAAGCATCTTGATCAAGAGAGGAAGCATCTTGATCAAGAGACGAAGTACTTTGAAGAAGAGAGGAAGCATCTTGATGAAGAGAGGAAGCATCTTGATCAAGAGAGGAAGCATCTTGAAGAAGCGAGGAAGCACTTTGTTGAAGAGAGGAAGCACCTTGATCAAGAGAGGAAGCATCTTGATCAAGAGAGGAAGCATCTTGATCAAGAGAGGAAGTACTTTGAAGAAGAGAGGAAGCATCTTGATCAAGAGAGGAAGCACCTTGACAAGAGACGAAGTACTTTGAAGAAGAGAGGAAGCATCTTGATGAAGAGAGGAAGCATCTTGATCAAGAGAGGAAGCACTTTGTTGAAGAGAGGAAGCATCTTGAAGAAGCGAGGAAGCACTTTGTTGAAGAGAGGAAGCACTTTGTTGAAGAGAGGAAGCACTTTGATGAACAGAGGAAAGCATCTTGATCAAGAGACGAAGTACTTTGAAGAAGAGAGAAGCATCTGATGAAGAGAGGAACATCTTGATCAAGAGAGGAAGCACTTGTGTTGAAGAGAGGAAGCACTTTGTTGAAGAGAGGAAGCACTTGATGAACAGAGGAAGCATCTTGATCAAGAGAGGAAGTACTTTGAAGAAGAGAGGAAGTACTTTGAAGAAGAGAGGAAGCATCTTGATCCAGAGAGGAAGTACTTTGAAGAAGAGAGGAAGCACTTTGTGAAGAGAGGAAGCATCTTGAAGAAGAGCGGAAGCTGCATGATGAAGAGCGGAAGCTGCATGATGAAGAGAGGAAGCATCTTGATCAAGAGAGGAAGTACTTTGAAGAAGAAAGGAATCACTTTGTTGAAGAGAGGAAGCACCTTGATCAAGAGAGGAAGCATCTTGATCAAGAGAGGAAGCATCTTGATCAAGAGAGGAAGTACTTTGAAGAAGAGAGGAAGCACCTTGATCAAGAGAGGAAGTACTTTGAAGAAGAGAGGAAGCACTTTGTTGAAGAGAGGAAGCATCTTAAAGAAGAGCGGAAGCTGCATGATGAAGAGAGGAAGCATCTTGATCAAGAGCGGAAGCATCTTGATCAAGAGAGGAAGTACTTTGAAGAAGAGAGGAAGCATCTTGCAGAAGAGAGGAAGCACCTTGATCAAGAGAGGAAGCATCTTGATCAAGAGAGAAAGCATCTGATCAAGAGAGGAAGTACTTTGTTGAAGAGAGGAAGGCATCTTGATCAAGAGAGGAAGCATCTTGATCAAGAGAGGAAGTACTTTGAAGAAGAGAGGAAGCATCTTGCAGAAGAGAGGAAGCACCTTGATCAAGAGAGGAAGCATCTTGATCAAGAGAGGAAGCATCTTGATCAAGAGAGGAAGTACTTTGTTGAAGAGAGGAAGCATCTTGATCAAGAGAGGAAGCATCTTGATCAAGAGAGGAAGCATCTTGATCAAGAGAGGAAGTACTTGAAGAAGAGAGGAAGCATCTTGATCAAGAGAGGAAGCATCTTGATCAAGAGAGGAAGTACTTTGAAGAAGAGAGGAAGCATCTTGATCAAGAGAGGAAGCATCTTGATCAAGAGAGGAAGTACTTTGAAGAAGAGAGGAAAGTTAGTATACAAGTCTCGTGTACGGAGGCACTGCGTTCCTCCGTACGCAATACTTGTGAATTTGACACTTTACAAAACCGTTAACGTATATTTTACAACACAAACACAAACACCAACTTAACCTTAAATATTTATAAAGCCGCCAACCACTTCACCTCACTACTGTAAAAAATAAACGTTCTCACTTACAAAAGTATTGCAACTCCTCCCATTGCTGTGCTTCACACAATACTTCATATTCTTCAGTATCGCTGCTGTCGCTCCAATCGTCAGAGTCAAAGTCACTGTCAAAATAAATGTTAGTAAGTTTTGACAAAGCTAATGAAACACGCTTACCGTTTGTATCGTATGCTTGTATAAACTTTCCATTCTTCATTCCTTCATAAACGCTCAAACTAACTTTACCCTTTCTCCCTCGTATCTGATAGAATGTATTTTCACGAGTAACGAAGAACAAATTCTTGAACTCATGACCGTTGTAGTTTGTTATCTCAATAGTTTTCGTCATTTATATAAAAATAAAATAAAAAATAAACTTAAAAATTAATGATATCACCACCCTCACACGTATGAAAACATAGCACAAAAATAAATTTAGGTGAAGTGGTGAAATCTCACCTCTTTTTTCACCTCTTTTTCACCCTGTTGAATTCATTGCTTTATAACTCTCTTCCTTGGTTTCTTTTTAGTTGCTTTCTTCACGTCCACGTCTGGTCTCCAACACTGTCTTCTTCTCGGCCGTAATGATACCAGTTACTTCACCAAGTCAATGGGGTCAAATGGTCTTTCGTAAGGGTTTCCATACATTCCATAGGGACCATACGGAAGAAACTACTGGTGGAGAGAAGAACATTTTCCTTTAGTCCATCGAATCTATTTAAATGCATTTGTTTCACCATTCATCTTGGTCATTAAAGTCTTTTGACGTGTTTTGCAAACAACTCATCGTCCTTCCTAAAGCATTTTCTGGACTCAGATCGCAACCAAAATTGGATGCTTTATTATGAGCCCTAATTATATATTTAATCTTAACTTCTTTGCAACCCAGCCTCCAATCTTCCCTTTATCTTGCCATCTAATGTCTTTGAAACTCTTCCTCCACTCATTTATTTACTGCATCATAAGCTCCAAATGCTTTTGCTCCAAACTCAAATGCATAATAGCTTTTGTTTCTCCATTCCGCCCTAAAGCTGCCCAAGCTACCATATTACACCAAATTAAAATATCATCTCGTCAATCAATAATCTCATAAAAGTTCTCGTTACTGCGAGACAAGTCAAATGAAACATAAGACGTTCTCACGGCGCTTCGCCCTCACCGCTTTGCGTCTATCTAACTTATATCTTATATTCATCTATTACGCTTCAAAATGTCTCGAACAATTGCTAACTATCTTCTACAACAGTTATTTCATCATGAATGACCTTCCAAGAACAAGCTCATTTAATATGCAATTAAAATCATTTCAAAATGCAGTCCATCCTTTCCACTTTTAGTAGCACAAAATCTTTCATGAAGAAGGTTCGACAAGTCTTATGTTAAACTTACTGACAAAGTTTGTCTATACTATAATTGCTTCGGTGGCGAATACATGTAGTTTGAAAGACATAATATTAGATTCTTCAGCAAATTTCACTTATAGGATTTTATAACAATGTTCTCACGAGACCAAACGCCACCAATTGACAATCTTGTAAGCAATCCTGCTGAGCCTTCAACTGTAAACGTCGATGGTAACATTTCCACGAAGGTCATCTATTTGACATCTTGAGTCACTGAATTTAAATATTTTCTTAAAGCCAATCGTCATTATCTAACCATGCCAATAGCTTTGAACTTTTCATTCGAATATACAATCTGCTTCATTAATGTAAAACCTGACTTCTTTGCAGATATGACTTCTAAAATTATTTGAGTTTGCTTTCAAAATGTGCATATTATGCTATATGGATAACTGATCTGAAGAGTAAATGGATGTCCTTCGACATCAGTTGTTCTCTCACTTACCGGTTGAAGACTTTGGTGTTATTGAATAGAAAACAATTTCATGTCATCTCGATGGTAATCCAAGTTCACATACACAGCAACAGGGAAAACTATCTTGCTTCTTTTGTTTCATCATGAAATTAAGTCTCAAAAACATTAAAGTTTCTATCAATAAGTTTTTTCCTCTGCTGGTTACAGTACTTCCTTAACATTGTCTTATTTCAATAGCCAGGTTCTCCAACCTAGAACCTAAACATACTCTAATTCCCAGTCTGTTCTCCAAAATGTGGATATTCCATAAGTTTGATTGACTGACTTTCTGGTAATTATTTTCATGGTGGTTTCATCATAACGTGCTAATATGTGTGTGAGTAACTTTAAGAGGGTGCCAGATGAAGCATCATTCAAATCCTGTTTCAATCTCAGGCCAATATAGAACCTTCTAACAGAGCTTTTTAGGGAAAAACGACTCTTTACGGTGTGAAAATATTGTTACTGAAATATTTCTGCAAACTCTATTGCATTTTTTAATAATTGCCCACGAATGACAAAATGAACATTCAGAACTCTAATATTCAGCAAATCCAGCCGTAAAATACCCATAGATTCGTAATTTTATGATCTCCCGAAAAAGTCTCAACATGCGATACCTGTATACACTACAGGACAAGACTGTAATACAATCATTTCCTCCAATTCTTCCTTTCAGCAAGAGATTATAAAATGAATTTGCTCCTTCAATCATATGTGAGTAGTTCCAAACTTTTTACATAAATTTCCTGGTGCGAAAATGGGATTCAGGTAAGACATTTAACCTCATTCGTCATATACTCACTAACAGAAGCGTTTAGGAAACGACTCTTACTATGACCAAATCAATTATCATCAGCAACTTCAACTCTATGGATTCAACACGAAAAACATTTATGTCAAAAGCGTTCAATGCCTTCTGTCGATTAAAAGTTCCAAACAAACAGTGAACTGCAATTATGAATTTAACATAAATCAAAAACTTTTACATGCCCGATAGCGTAATGAGGAAATATATGCTATCGTAATAGTTCAGAGTTCATACCCCAGATCGAGCCGAATGCAAAAAGACTTCTAGAAGAGGAGATGAGGAAAGAATTATGACAAACACCACTTACTCATACTCAGTAGTTTTACTATTGACTGCCAACAACTAGCTTACAAACTACATTCCGGTCAAAACATCTTCAAGTTCAAAATTACCCCAACCTTCCGAAAGAAAAATATCCTGTCAAACATCTGCTCGTTTGTAAAAGAACGACTTCGATTATTGACAACGGAAAACAGACCGAATCTTATAGCTGTCCCATAATAATCCAATCAACCCAGAAAACTCAGACCTATTAAACCTAAGCATAATACATAATACGTAAAAAAACGGTCAGACATTACACATTTGTAAACACATTAACATGCAACAATAGATCGTAATTAAACGATGCCAAAAACAATAGGGCGTTTTCATTCGCTTTAAACCATTTACAAAAAGCGTATCTCATCAAACTGACTCCTCGTGTATCTTTCACATCCGTTTTCTCACGCTATTGAATTTTGAAGCTCATTTAGGAACAGTCAGAACCCGCATTTTATAACCCATTACCTTTTGAAGAAATTGGGGAAGCATAAAGATCCTCTCCAGTCTCTTAGTAACGTTCATAAGGTTACTCATGATATTCATTATCAGTTGCCAAACTAAGCACTAATAACCATTAAAACGTCTCAGAAAAAAACCATATTTATATCCGCTATAACCAATTCCAACTAAAGCAGAAACATTACCACCTGGAAAAACTGTAAGCCGAATAACACCGATGATCGACTAGAAAATTCTAAAAGTTTAACTCGGTCTCAGATTTCCGGCCCTGATCTGAAAGAAATTTAGATAAACAGTTACACAAAATTCCCTGATGAACCTCTTCTGTTCGCTCAAAATTTCTTCTTCAAAGTTTCAGGTTAATATTTTGCTGTCATTTCATTATCATTCCACTTCCCCATCTCAGTTAACATTGGAATGACAATTTATGAACGTGTTTAGCAATGAGTATTAAGCTGTTAAACACGAAGATTCCATGAAGGCTTTTCACCTTCATTAGGAGAGCATAAACTCTAGAACTTTCTGCGATACTTTATGTTTGAACCCTCCTGAGCCATCATTTGACATAAATTTTGATAGACTACTCACCACTTTGTTCGAATGCCCTCGTTCTTCCCTTGCTCTTGTGTGAATTACCGGTATGTAGTTCTAGCATGCTTGTATACACAACTCCTGTCTCAAGGTCGAAATTCAACAATAGTTTCATTCTATACTAGCTGTTACGATTCCCAAAACCTTCGACGCGCGTTATAAGGTTGTACCTCAAATTTCACCTATCATTAGTGAAAATGGGTTTTCCCTATTCTATATAAAATGAGAAGCATTCAATCCATCTAGTAAAAGCTCTGGTGCCGTTAATGTTCCAATAATGAAATCCCAACACATCAAATATTAAAATGAAAACTCTCCCAAAAACGAAATACTGCCACCAACAACAATATTGTCATAAATAAGAAACTAGGTAAAAGTTCAGAACCGAGTAAACGCTAAACCCAATTGTGAAGGTATTAAAAAAGAACCAGAAGCTGATAATTTCCACCAAGTGAATGTAAACCACAGCCTTCAAAAGCTTGGCAAAACGGCAATGGACATCAGATGTTAATTTAGAGTATCACACTGGACCAAAATTCTTTCAGAGAATGCCAAACGAACAAACTACATTACACAAATGCTCAAACAAATCCTCAGGATAACGCCAATGCCTCTGTCCAATTTTTAGACCATTA